TGAAGGGACTCTTTTATGGAAGAGGGATTAGATGTGTATTGCTTGGTCCCAGAAAGAAGAACTAGATCAGTAGATAGAAATTGCAGAGAAGCAAAGTGGATTTTGGCTTCATATAAGAGAAAACTTCTCGGTAAATAGAGCTATTTAAGAGTTGAATGGGCCACCCTTGGAGTGAGTTGAATTCATCACTGAAAGTCTTCAAGGAAATGTTAGATGACCACTTGTTGAAGTTGTTGTAGAAAGAATTCCTGCCTAGATATGGTTAACCATAGTTAGTGGTTAACCTCTGAGGTTAGCCCCTTAATTGTGAGGTTTTATATCATTTCTTAGAGAGAAAGGAAAATGACCCTAGAAACACATGGAGAAGACAGAGGAACAGTTGTCAAATCAGTGTATTAGTAAATCAGTCAGCTAGCATTTATTGAGCTTCTGTGTGCCAGGCACTGTGCTAAGTGCTGTGGATACAAAGAAGGAAGGAAAATTCCCTGCTTTCAAGAAGTCACAGTCTAATGAAGGAGACAACATGCAAACAACTATGTACAAGCGATTTATGTACAGAATAAATTGGAGGTAATCAGAGAGGGAACCGGCATTAAGATTAAGGAGGATTGGGAAAGACTTCTTGCAGAAGGTGAGATTTTAGCTGAGAGAGAATAAGGAGTTGATGATAACTCCTATATTGAAAGTCTGACTTTCAGTGGTGAAACCTTTGACAGTAATAGGAAAGTTCAGAAGAGGGGAGGTTTGGGGAAAAGAAAATGAATTCCATTTTGGACATGTTGAATTTAAAATGTCTCTAGGAACTTCTGTTTTGAGATATCTAAAAGGTAGTTGGAAATGCAATATTGGAGGTAAACTGGACAAGTGGATCCGAGTCATCTTTGTAGAAAATGATCATTAAAATCATAGGAGGTGATGATCAGTGAAGTAGTGTAGAGGGAGAAAAGAGTACCTAGGACAGAGAAGAGAGTAATGAGGAGAGGGTGATCAGCTGTGTCAAAGGATGCAGAAAGGTCAAAAAGAAAACCAAGAATGGTTGATAATTGTTCAAATAGCGTTAGGCAAGATGAGCACGAATTGTTTTTATGCTTCAGCAGGATACAAATAGCCGGGAAACATATTTCTTATATTGTAATATATTCTTGCCTGCTGGCCAAATTGTATTACATGAGTCTTTTGAAAATATACATCGAATTTATTTGTTATACTTTTCCAATGTGTTGTGGCAGATTTCTGCAAAGTAAATTATATTTTGGTGTACACCTGGGGGTCCTGTGCATGCTCAAATTGGAACACTTATATATGTATTCAGATTGATGAGTTAGGTCCAAGGAAATTGTAGAAAGGAATTGTTAGGGAAAAGAGGGGACATGATAAGATAGAGATAGAGGTAAATAAATATATGATGTTGGAAGAGATAAATTGAGAGTCAAATGATGAGGAAATGGAGACAAAGTTGCCTATTACATAATAAAACATGTTGGACACAGAAGTCACTAAAGTTTAAGTTAAAATTAGCTTAAAAAAATAACACTATATTCTGTTTGTATCACTCAGAGAGGAAGTGCTGTCCTATTGCCTTAAAGGGGGAAAAAAGCAACTTCAACTGTTTTTCAAATAAATAATGAAAATAGTATAACATTTTCTTTTTATTTTCTTTTTTTCTCTCAACATTTTCTTTCTTTTAATGTCCAGTAATAAGTAGGTAATCACAAGGATATAGATCTTGATCCTTTCATCAGGTTCCACTTTGTACTTACTGCTTGTTGGACTTCCCAGCTTCTCCTTTATGTTAGGGAGGCAGACCAGTGCTCTAATAGGCCTCCTCTATAAAATTTTGATGTGCTAAACCTCTGTTATAAAGAAACCATTTAAGTATAACAGTACAAATACAGAAGCAATCTACCAATTTTCTGGTTATTATTGAACATTAGCTGGTTGCCAGATAATTATGAGGGACTACTGTTGGGGTATTTGAAATAGACTGATTATAAGATTGAATTTCTAGAGGCCATGTCTTATTTATCTTTATATCTCCCAGAGTTTAGTATACTGTACTACATACAGTATGTGTTTAAATGAACTTATCATCTAGTTGACAGATATTTACTTTGACACATAATTGCAGCCGTGCCTTTCCAAAACCAGTTCATATCTTAATTATGACTATTCGTTGCAGCATTTTGAATGAGAACTCCTTGAATTTGCGTTATTAAAAAATGAGGAGAATTGATCAGTTTCTCCTACTCATTTTAATTCTTTCATTTGGTAGCATTTAAATGCCTCTTCAAATGAATCACTACATGGTAACCTAGGCATGAAAACTATGTAGCAGAAAAAGAAACCTATGCACAAAACTTTTGTATCCAAAGATTTAATAAAGGACATTCTTTACAGTTGACTGGATATGGGAATGGGATGCTTCATATCCCCAAATCTGTGTCCACATTGGGGTGATAAGTATGGTAGTTCCCAAGATAGAGGTGGTGTCATAGCTTCAAAGATAGCTTCCTACCTTTCTTTTTTTGCATAAGAAGGCCTCATCTCTAACATATATTAGAGATGCTCCTTCTTTTTTGGAAATTCCAGGATGATAACTCTGCTATCTCTGTTTCCAAATCTACACTTTGGGATCTTTGAATACAGTAATTGGTTGAGAGAGATGAGAGTATGGGACTGGAATATTTCCTAATTTACCCAAGATTACCTAACAGAAGTGATGTGGAGGGCCTTATCTATAATGACAGGTGCTATGGTTCCTTCTGAGCCCAAATGGTCTCTTACCTGTGATGTTATTATTAGCAGTATTGCATAGTGGATAGAGAGCTGAATCCTGAGTCAGAAAGACATTTGAATATAGACTGTAAGTTACAGAAAAGTTGTTGAACTGCATTCATAGAATGAGTTTCCTCATTTGGGAATTCTGTATGCCAATGAAATCACAGATCTAGTCCCTTTTCCCTATTTTTGGAAAAAGAGGGGAAGCTTCTGCTGGTTTTAAGAGGGAAAGCAAAAACAAAGGACAATGAACACTTCCAGGATTCATGCCAGTTATCTGTCAAGTGCTAGGAAAATGGCCTTGGGTTTTCCTCAAGTGAGGAATTAAAAGCTTTGTAGAGTTCATTATGGTTCTCTCCTTGCCCATCCCTTGGAATTCTACTTAGGACAGATGGAATAAACTTCTCATACACAGTGATCTAATGGAAGAACAGCCTTACTTATTCCTATGACTATGTATAAATGTGTCTGCATGCATCTATTCTGTAGCAAACACTGTTGATTCATTTGTATTGGAGTGAGGAAGGACAGTATTCGCAGTTACAAGATTCCAAGAAGCAAAACCATATACAGGTAACAAGAAGGGGTATAGCACTACAGGGACCAAAAATTATGAAAAACATTCCAGCAGTTAAAAGTTTTATTTGCCTTGCTACAATATTCCAGTAGATGTCATGATGAGTTTCACTTGCTAAACAGAATTTAGACATTTGAGTCTTTGGCTTTCTACCAACTAAGTATGCTATAACAAACTTGACAAATGTCATGCTGTGTTCAGAAAGAGACCAGTAAGTTAAAATGATATAAAAAGTACAAAAAAAATGGAATTTAAAATTAGTCTTAGATTTAAAATAAATGTTGAAGCACTTTAAAATTATGAAAACTTTAGCCAAATCACTAAAGCTTTAGAAGGTCCTACTTGTACGTTGTTGTTGTTGTATTTTAGGATAAATAACAAAATCATAGCATTTCAGACCTGGAAAATACCATAAAGATCATGTAGCTAATCCCCTTTTTTGGTGAGAAATATAAGCCCAAGAAGTGAAATGACCTGTTCACACAAATGTTAGCAGAGCTGGGGCTAAAATCCATGTCTTGATTCACCAGTTAGAGTACCTGTTCCATTGTATATACTTCTTCCTTTTTCCCTTTTTTTTTTTTTTTGTGAGGCAATTGGGGTTAAGTGACTTGCCTAGAGTCACACAGCTAGTGAGTGTTATGTGTTATGAGGTTGGATTTGAACTCAGGTCCTTCTGAATCCAGGGCTAGTGCTCTATCCACTGCGCCATCTAGCTGCCCTTATACTTCTTCCCATTTCAGAAACCAGAATGATACAAATGAGAGCTGGAGAAACTGTTCATGCTTTTACTTACAATATTCATGTAACATTTTAAGTATTTCTGATATTTTGTCTGAAATTCATATTTCAGTTTAAATATGCAATTTCAAAAAATGGTTATGTTATTAAGTGTGACCTAGGACCAAATTGTTATTCCTTGCGACTTTTATTTCATAATGAAAGTGGAAAAATTACATAGTAGAAATTTACTTTAAGGGAAACTTTGTTGAAATATATCTGTTTTGCCAAGTAAGAGATTTTTCTTACAACAATTAAACTACATTGATTACTAGATTGTAAATTTTTTGAGTGCAGATAACTTGTTCTATTTTTCTCCAGGAACTTGCACTGTGTTACACATAGTATGTGCTTACATGAAATTCCATCATAAACATTTATTTTTTTCTATAATGTTTTGTTCTCCAAACCTATTAGAACATCTAAAATATAGTGAAATTAACTGACAAGTTCTATTTTCCTTTCTTTCCTTTATCTACTTTTTGATTGAAATGAGAAATATGCCAAAGTTAGGTGGCAGAAGAGCAGAAGAGAACAAAGAGCTTTGATAATACACCAACAGGATAATTAGATACTAAATATTGATGCTACTCTGCTTCAGCAAAACTTATCTACCGCAAAGACAGGGACATTTTCGGATTGATAATAGATTTTACGTATGTTTTGACCTAAAGCTGAAGAGACATATATACATATATATATATATGTATGTATGTATGTATGTATGTATGTATGTATGTATATGTATGTATATATATATATTTGTATGAAAAACATTTTATTTTCAAGCTTCTAAAAGTGTTATTTAGATTTTGTTGGATTTAAGCAGAGACTGTTAATAATAACACTATTACTTTTTCCACAGCTTAACGAAATCACGTCTGATTTATAAACGTGGTGAAAATTGAGTGACATTCTCCTCCACAAATCATGGCACTCCCCTTCCGAAAGGACTTGGAGAAGTACAAGGATCTTGATGAAGATGAACTCCTTGGAAAACTTTCAGAGACTGAACTAAAACAGCTGGAAACTGTTCTTGATGACCTTGACCCTGAGGTGGGTATTACTGAGAGAGGATGAAAGTATCTTGTTTTTCATCCATATACATTTTTAGTTCCTTCTTCTCCAGCTTTTTCCTCTTCTACATAGAAATCACTGTGCTTTCACTGTTTCCCACTACAGGCTTTATTCTTGCCTTTATTGACATTGGTACTTGTATCCAGAATGATCTCCCCATATCCTTGTCTTCAGAACCTCTCAGAACCATGTCCTCTATGAAGTGTTTGTTGACTGAACTAGACAGTTGGGTGTAACATGGAATGTAGTTAGATGAAAATTTACAAAAGCTATTTTTCTATCCAATTCTTCAAAGCTGTTTTGCTTCCAGGATTATTGCCTTCCAGAGAATCTTTGACAAGTCTTACTTGGCCCTACGTCAGGGCATCTGTAGTCTGAAGAATGCTGGACCGAATAAATAATTTTAAAGTCCTCTTTCAAACAGGCCTCAGGTAGCTCTAGCGCTCCTAGTGAATTAGAGCTTTAGCAATACACAAAATTCACTCTAGAGCAAACCTAAATCTGTAGTTTGACCAGAAGCTGAGTCTCCATGGGTGTCTTTAGGTTAGAAGTGGCCTGTGGCTAAAGTAAAGAGCACTGTGTCGATCTTGATTTAGATTTGTACTCTTTAGGACTTCCTTAGAGTTGAGTGATATACTTGGGGAAATGGCTGTTTGCCAGATTACATCCTATTCCATTCTAAGTTGTTTTACTTTGCGTACTGAATATTAATTGATGATAACTGTATGCTGGGACATTAATTATAAGTGCTTATTTAGGATAAATTTTGGCTTTTGTTTAGTAAATCTTTCTTTGGTATTAAAAGTAATCTAGTGTCACTACCACATGTATATTTCGTTTGGGTATAACTTCCTTGGTTTTATATTTTTGTTAAGACTGACACGTTTTTTAACACAGGTAATCTGATCAGGTAAATACCGTAGATAAAATCCTTCTGTGATGAATTCTATAATAAATAAAATTCACAATAACAGAAATATATTCTAGTCTGAAGGATTACCCTGTAGTAATAATGTTGTGTTCATTTTATTGCCCTGAAATTCTGTGCTTGGAATAATCCAGTATGAAGAGTCTGTCATCCCAGTGTAGTAGGGTGGAAAGAGTGCTGCATCAGAGGACCTGGGGTCACTCTCTGGCTCTGTCACCACCTGTGTGACCTTTGGTGAATTTTGTTCACCTCTCTGGACCTCAGTTCCTCATCTGTCAAATTAGAGGGTTGAATTAGAGGCCCTCCCTTCCAGTTCTAATTCTGTAGGCATATTGTACTACATATTGTAGTAGAATAGTTTTTGACACCAAATGGATACTAATAAGCCTTATTTGCTAATAATTTATATTCTGCTTCTTAGATAGAAAGACTTGACTCTCAACCTCTCTAAATGACATTTTTTGAGACTTCCCCACCCCACTCCCAGATGTTGCTAGTTGAGTCTTTGAAGAACATGATTTATTCCATGACATTTAGCAAAGAAAGGGTGCTATGCCATTTTACGAGTTAGGGTGGATTCCTCTTTGCCCTCCCTCTGTCCCCATCTCCTCCTTCACCACAGTGGGAGTTGGATTCTAAAGATATTAACTGGCATTGTCATGTGAGAGTTAAACAGGAAAAGGAATGCCAGACTCTTGTGACTTGTTTGTTTTGCTCATAGGGAGAGACATTTAGAAGCAGTTCCGTGTTCCTAGGTAGAATAATAGCAAACCCAGTTGCCTTAGCCAGAAAAACATATTAAAGTTCCCACCAACTTTACTTGCCCTTAGCCAGGGATCCAGGAGGTAGGGGGGAAAAATGGAAGCTGGGTGGGGTAAGAAAGATTGTACAAGACAACTCTTTGTAACATGGGAGTTTCTCTTCCTCTTCCCTACCATTTTCAGTGTACTAATTCATTGCCCATTTCAGAGTAGTTCTACCACAAGCACAGAATGTTTGTATATCAGCTTGTGTGTCATAACTAGCAAGGAATGAGAAAAAAAATATTTGGATTCTCAGGAATTCCATCTTAATGAGAGTTAACCTGCTTATTAATTTTTATTTATTATTAGATTGGTTAATTACAGCATGTTGCTCAGGGTTCATATCCCATGAAAGCCAGTTAGCTATGATTTCTTTCATGATTCAGACTCACCAAGGTAAACCAGGATCCTAACCAGCCATTTCACAGATGTGTTTTACAAGGGGAATGAACCTGGCAGGAAAGTACTGATGAAATCTGTGCAAGTATATTGGTAGTGTTGCAAAAAAACAACTTAAAATACATATCCTTCTGTAATGTCTTCGTATGTGAAAGATTGCACATTTTGTTGATTTGCTTTGAAAGCATTCCAAAATCTTTTTCATGTGCATATGTTGTATGTCTCCAATTACATTATTAACTGTACGGACAGTGGCCCTCTCTTGTTTTTTAAAATTCTAGTTGAAAGTTAGAGTTGGAAAAAAAATATGCCCAATGCAGTATCAGAAACTGACTTCAAAACTTTTTTTTCCATAAATGAGTCAAATTGCTCTATAACAAGTACCATTACAATATAAATGCAATTAATTAGGGATCCCTGCAGATGGCCCATTGGGGACTGCAGAATTCTCTACAGTGTGTTATCCAGTACAATAAATGTTTTCTTTGGTCAATCATTTTCTTTAAAAAGCAGTTTTTTTCTTAATGAAAAAATACCCATTACCTGATAGGATCCATGGGGACCAGTATTACCACTGTTATTGAGGTACATTACAAAGCATCATCAGTCCTGCTTTTTGCTTCTTGAGTGGATTCTATTTGTCATCTCTATTAACAACACAAGAATGCCGCCTCCGTTTGACCTTTGTTTTTCTGAAAGGGATGTCTACGACTTATAGCTGTTCCCATGATGTACTGGTAAGATCCTAGAGAGACAGTTTATTCTGTTGTCATATGAGAGCCAAATTCATCATGCTTGCCATTTGTGACCATTTATGACTATTCTTGGGCTGTAGTGGTGAAAGTATAGTGTGGGAAAAGCAGATGGCAGGTCTCAAACCGTTGCCTCCTGCCCTTTTTCCCTTGCCCCCAGCAGTTCCATTCCCTTCAGGCCCTTGTAGCATTGCATTGTCATGTATGGAATCTGATGTATAGCCCCTGTTAGGGGCTCCTCAGGAGAATTCTAATGCATTTACCGCAGCCATGAATTAATTCTGGGGCTGTCAATCCACCTATGAAATCTACAGCAATCAGCAATAGAGTCATAGAAACTTAGATTTAAAAGGAACCAGAGTGATCATATGGTCCAGAGTGTGAATGCCCTCTACAATAGAATCATAATAACTAACATTTATATAGTGCTGTAAGATCTGCAAAGTGCTTTATAAATTGTTGTTGTTGTTGTTGAGTTGTTTCAGTCATGTCTGATTCTTCATAACCCTATTTGGAGTTTTCTTGACAAAGATGTTAAAGTGGTATGCCATTTCCTTGTCCAGCCTATTTTACTGGTAAGGAAACTGAGGCAAAGAGGATCAAGTGACTTGTCCAGGACTGCATCATTAATAAGTGTCGGAGGCAGATTTGAAGTCAGATCTTTCTGACTCCAGGTCCAGCACTCTATCCACTGGATAGAGTGCCACCTACTTGTCCCCAAACTGAAGTTTATTTTATTTTTTTCTATTTTATTTTATTTTATAAATAGTATTTCATTTGATCTTCACAACATTCCTGAGACGTTGGTGCTATTAAAATCTCATTTTACAAAAGAGGAAACTGAAGCACAGAGAGATTAAGTTAAAAGAATTAAAGTAGTGCATTGATATAGCTAGTAAGCATCCAAGGCTAGATTTGAACTTCCTGGCTACAGGTCTAACGCTCTGTCCACTCTGCCTATTCCCAACAAGTATGGTCATCTGGCTTTTGTTTGAACACCTGGACATGAGACAGTCCATTCCATTTTTAGATAGTCCTAATTGTTAGGAAGTATTGTATTACATTAAACTTTGCTAAATAGCTTCCATTCTAGTCTTTCCACTAGATCTATGTAGAATGTGACTGGTTACTTTTCTCCATGAAAGCCCTTCACATATTTGGACACAGCCATCATATCCTCCCTAAGCTATCTTGTCTCCAAGCTTACATATCCAAAGCCTTCAGCATTTATAACATAGTTTGGGTCTTCTCACAATCTTGGTCTCTCTCCTCTGAATGTATTTCATTCTTTCAGTTTCAGTGTACCTCATAAAATATGGTGTCCAAATGTGAATTGAAAAGTGGTCTGACCAGTACAGAGAGTAGTGATATTGTCTTGTTCTGGAGTTCTCTAAATTGTAGTGTAAAATCACATCAGCTTTATTGGAAATCAAAACCACACTGTTGGCACACATTGAAGTGGGAGGTAGCTTCCCATTCTCAATTTGGTGTGGTTGATTTTTTGAACCTAAATGCAGGAGTTCACATTTATGTGCACTGAAGCACCCAGATATCTTTTTGGACCCTGTTATCTAGTACAACAGTACATTTACTCAAAACAGAAACAAATGGTTTGGTATATCATTTAAGTATTTTTTGCAACAAAATCCTATTGCAATAAAAACAAAATTCTTCTTGACAGGAATTTTGCATATACTTTGATATAAAGTCCTGAATTCCCCTGGCTGAGGAACCCTGTACCTCCCCTATAACCATGGGGTGTTCTTTTTGATACCAAAAGAAAAGGCCAAGGAGCTCCAAACTAATTATAGGTAGTAATTTAATCAATTATTATGAGTACTTACAAAACAAGGGCAATCTGGGGCAGCTGCCAGACAATTCAGTGGATCCCTGCAAAAGAAGCCCAAAAATCCCTGTGGTAATTACAGAAGACAGACAAAGGGAGGAGGAATTAGAGAGTGCATCACTACTGATGGGTGAATGTTTTTGGTTTTCTGCTTAGTAATGAGCTTGGACATTAAGCCAATGTTATGCCCAACATAAGTTTGTGTATTGATCATGTACCAGTCACAGAGGGGTCACAATATTTTTGTTACAGCTTTCATAGGACATAACATTTTAAGTTATGACTCAGTGTCTCAGTTATGATTTTTAACAGAGTACCACCTTTCACAGAGTTTAAGTTTTTTGGCTTTTCCCTAATCGGGACCACGCATGTGGCATTCCTTTTGTGCATGTTAAAAAATATAAATACTAGAACGTCTTCCTCCAATACCTCATCATGGAGTGGAGGTGAATCCTAGGTGCTTCAGGGCTTTCAGTGAAAGTTCAAGATCTGAAAGTTTCTGCAAAGTTGTAAAGGTATCAGGTGTGGGTATGGATTCTACCTGTTATCCACGGACCAGCCTAGCCAAGTTTGGAGAAGTTCATTACCACATCAGCTGCAGAATAGTCAACTTTTACAACCATTCCTGCTCTTGAAGACTCAACCAACGTGTAAAGAGCTTGTTATACGTTAAACATAGAAGTACCTACATTGGGGAAATAATAGATCCTTGAAGTGTTTAAAGCACGTGTGATGCAGCCTTTTGACTGAGTCCAAGTTTTCCAGAACAAATCCTTTTGTTAAGGGAATTTGTTCTGTGAAGTTTGGATTCTGTCAAAGGGCAGCAGTTGAGGTCCTAAAGGGCCGCATGTGACCTTGAGGCTGCAGGTTCCCCACCCCTGGTTTAAAGTATTGTTTTTTTTTAATGTTTAAAGTATTCTTCTAAGTCATTTTAGATATCAAGAAAATTCATTTTGTTTAATGTCAAAAGGATATGAAACTGAGTTACTAAAGCATGTTCCATGAAAAAATGAATTATTGACTGATAAAATGAATTCTGTCTAGCTAAACTATTTTTTATAGTCTTAGTTGAAGAACTAAAATTTGTTCTCAGAGGTCATGCTATAGAACACTTAATGTTGATACTATGATATTGCTGTTTCAATACACTTTTTCTATATTTAAGTGATATATTCAGTTAAATTTATAAAATCATTGACTTCACATAGTAGCTGTTTATAAATGAAAGATATTTGCACGTAAACAAAATAGTCTGACTTATGTGTGGTCTAAATGTAAATTGCCATTGTAATGGTACTTTTTTATTTCGGGGGTAGAATGCACTTCTACCTGCAGGCTACCGGCAAAAAAATCAGACTACTAAGAATGCCACCGGACCTTTTGACAGAGAACATCTGCTCTCGTACTTGGAGAAGGAAGCACTGGAACATAAAGACAGGGAAGACTTTGTACCCTTCACTGGAGAGAAAAAAGGTAATCCAGGGTATTAAAATTGTTTCCTTGATGGAACTTGTTTTTTTGGTAGATATGGAGGGATTCAGACTTAGAGTTAAAAGTTTTTATAATTGTTTTGAAAATCCATTGAAGTTTTTAACCCAGTAACAAATTCTAAATGAAGTGAGATTTTACTGCACTATAATAATTGTTTGCCTCATGGTTTTGTGGGTCAACATAGTGTGGGGAAAAGAGCACTTGACCTTGAAAACCTCAGTTCAAATTGTAACTCTTCCATATAATAGCTGCTTAAGTTTATTGAGCTTCAGTTTTCTCATCTATAAAATGGGGACAGTAGTACTTGTACTACCTATTTATCCCATGGGATTGTGATGACAAAATAAATGAATGCTTAGTGGAAATAGCATGGTATCTGGAATTAAAAGAACCTGGCTTTGCGTCCATAGTTTTGCCAGTTCAATACTTAAATAATCTTGGATAAGTTAATTTCCCTCTATTGGCCTCATAATTAGTGAAATGGGTAGTTAGACTAGCTGATTCTTAAAATCTTTTCTAGCTCCATATGCTAGATTTACTATCCATTGGCTTACTGTATGCGGATCATTGTGCTGAGGGAGAGACAGTTTAGATAAGACACCAATCTTATAAACTGTGATTATAGTAACATTCTTTATAGCGGTGGTAATAATTAATTATAATTAATTAGGAATACTACCTCACCTTTGTATGAGGACAGTTAGGTGGTGCCATGGATAGAACACTGGGCCTGGAGTCAGGAAGACTTAAGTTCAAATCCAGCCTCAGACACTTACTAGCTATGTGACCCTGGGCAAGTCACTTAACCCTGGTTACCTCAGTTTCCTTATCTGTAAAATGAGCTGAAGAAGGAAATGGCAAGCCACTCCAATATCTCTGCCAAGAAAACCGCAAATGGGATCATAAAGAGTCAGATGTGGCTAAAATGACTGAATAACACCACCACCACCACCACCAAACATTTTTATAGTGCTTTATAGAGGACTTTATGTGATTTTATTTATGTGTGTATGTGTGTGTGTCTGTCTGTGTGTATAATATGATCCTTACAACTATGTGAGATATGTAGTACAAGTATTTATATTTTATTCTTGGTTTTACTGTTTGTAGCAATTTCTTATTTGTGTCAAAGTAGATTTACAAATTGATGATGGAGTATTTTAGGACATAAAGGAGTTACTCTTAGATCCGGTCCTGCTGCAAAGGCATTTTAAACTATTGTTTATTTTTTTGTTAGACTTTCCTGGAAGGAGATTTCTCAACTTTCTGGGTAACCTAGTTTCCCATTTGATGATAATCATTTCAGGAAGTTGTTTTTTTTTTTTTTCCCCTGAATCCCACACATTGCTGTTTAAGCCCATTTCATTTTGTTTTGTCTTTATTGGAAATGGAGAACAGATGCTTTTTATCTCCCATATGATAATTATTCTTCTACATGAAGTCAGCTAAGACTTTCAGCTTCTAGCTTCCTTTAAATTTTCCTTTTGAGTCTTAACTTGTCTGGCTTTTCAGGTACTATAATATGAAGTGACAAACTGAATTGCCTAATTTTGCACCTATGTATGAGCCATTTAAGCAATTATTAAAATTTCCAGATCCCAAATTCCACCTTATTTTATTTCTTAATCAAAATATCGCAGTGTGGTATAGAAGAGATTGTGACCTGGTAGTAGCAATTGCAAATGTAGAGGACAGCTTCTGTTGCCTCTCTTGTTGTCTCACTAACCCCCAAAATCTGATCCTTGTTAGTAGCATTCAATAACCTCTTTATACAATCTGGCATAACTTTGTGTGGTTGGGAAGCCACAAAACTAGCTTGGCATTCTATAGACAGAGATGGTATGACAGTTTGTTTTTTTTTAAAGCTTCCACAGAGAGACAGAGTTTCAAATAATGCTATAGCCACACACCAAAGAGCCATTGTTTTTGTGTGTATTCCATCTAGAAAAATGGCTCATTATGTATTAATCTGGACAGTTAGACCTACAGCAGAGAAGGAATGATTAATCACCTTCAACATTATCTTCGTATAAAAGATGTAATGACTAACCTGTCCCTCTGGCTTGTGTTCCAGGCATATTTCAAAAGGGATAAAGTTTAAAAAAGAAAGAGGGTGAGATGTTGAAAAGAAGAGGTACAAAGGAAAGAAAGAAGGAATTGGGAATATATTTCATATGTCAGGAAATAGGTTATGTAAAGAAAAACCTCAATGCATTGAAATTACACCTTTGTAGAAAAAAAATAGTAATAACTGTCTCTAGGGGAAAAAAAGTTTGGACAGTGTATACAAGAAATTAAAGAAAAACAAAGCCATGACACCTACTAAAACCCGTCAAAATAGTTCACTAGTGTTTCTGCAATTATAAAATAGTCAGGAGAAGCAGCCAGGATTGTTGTTTGTATAACAGCTCATTTATATGTATGGCAAAAATCCAAACCTATGTTTGTGCCAAAGAGTAAGTGCAGTGGGCCACGGTGTTTACTGTTTTTTCAAAATCACTATCTGATGTGAGCCAGGTTAACAGTTTTTGACCCAGGTGCCTTTGAGTCATAGAACGGTAAGCACTTAGAGTTGGAAGGGACCTTAAAGATCATCCGTTAGTCCGACTCACTTTACAGCTAAAGAAACAAGGTCCCAAAGAAGTCAAGCATCTGTCCTCCACCGCCACGTCTCATTGTGCTGACGTGAGGATGGCGCTGCCACAAATGTCTGTCATTGGGTGATACTCCAAATTACCTTTCCTTTGCATAGCCTATAATCTAAGTTGTAGACCAGCCAGATTAATGGGGGGAAAAAAAGGAATTGGGATTACTCTTGGTTGTTTCAACTTTATATAGGTAAAAGACCCTTTTAATAGGATTCTCATCTGAACACTACAGCAGGGAAGGAGTTAGGTGGCCATGTCTTCCAAAAAGAAATCTGCAGAAATGACATCTAGCTATGGGCCTTAGGATAAAGAGGTAAAAAAAGAAATGTAGCTTTGTGAGCCAATCAGTTCTCAACACTGCTGTGTATTGGGATGTAATCATGATTAAATGTTCACTGTCTCTCTGCCTTGTCCATGCCTCCCCTTTACATCTCTTCCTGTGATGCCCCCATATTTTAAAATGTTAGGCCAAGGCCAACTCGAGTATAAGAATTCTGTCATCATAAAGAGGCCGTTAGGTGGCACAGTGAATAGAGTGCTGGGCTGGAGTTGGGAAGACTCATCTTCCTGAGTTCAAATCTGGCCTCAGATACTTCCTAGCTATGTGACCCTGGGCAAGCCACTTCACCCTGTTTGCCTCAGTTTCCTCATCTATAAAATGAGCTAGAGATGAAATGACAAACCACTCTAGTGTCTTTGCCAAGGAAACCCCAAAAGGGGTCACCAGGAGTCTTAATGTAACTGAAAAACAACTAAACAACAAAAAGAGCTTTTAAAGGATCTGCATTCAGAAAGTTTTATTTGCCTATCATTGATCCTGGCTATTGTTTATATATTATACTTTTCATTCCCCTCTATGATGTCTGGGTTGAAAGGGAAGGCTGTGTATTCTATACACTGTGGCAAAAGTATCATCAGCCCTCTGCGGATTTAGCCCTTATCTCTGGCAGTTTTTATATCAAAACCTAATTCATGTAGCGAATATGATTAACCTCTTCATTTGAAGTTTCCCAAGCTAATCTCAGCCTATAATGATCTTTTTACTTCATTCTAAATTCCTTTAATACTCAAGTGTTCACTCCATCTAATACTTGTATATAAATACTTGTATATAATACTTGTATATAAATTGCCAAGTGCTATCATTTGAACTTCTCATATGACACATGATATTCTGGCCTGTATTAGAAAGTGTTTGCACATTTTTCATCTCCCTTGAGATTGCAAATTTCGCCAAGGTAGGAACATTCTTTTTACAATGTTTGTGCCCTACTGTGGCTAGAATGGTGCTTTTCACGGGGAAAAGTTCAACTATTATTTGTTGGATGAAGAATCATAACTGGAATAGCATGTTGTACAGAAGATAGCCAGATAAAATCTGAAGAAAGGTAGAAATTTATAGAGAGCCAGATATTTCCAAGGTAGAAACTCAACCAAAAGTTAGACTAATAAATTACTCAAAGGTCGCTGAAAAGCAATCTAAACTTCTTCTGAAATTATATAAAATTTCAGTCAGAGTCATAGAGTGTTAGGGCAGAACAGGACTAAAGAGATCACATAGTTAAATTCATTCATTTTACAAATAAGAATAATGAAGGCTAGAAAGTTGTGGGTGGCTTGCCCAAGACTACTAAACTAACACTTAAAGGACTACTAAAGGCTTTTCTTGTCTCTTTAAAAATTATATTTACATTTTTTGCTATCTTTCCCTTCTGTCCCCACCCTTACCCCTTTAGCCCTAAATTTTCCTGAGTTTTAGCCTTCCTGACACTATTCTTATAAGACTATGTCACTTTTGTATATTTGTCTTTGGTTATGCATAAGTGATACCTTCTTTTGCACATGTCCTTTTAAAACCTGATCTCAAATATCTCCTTGTAAACCACTTTCTCAGGTGTTCAAGCCTAAATCAGTGCAGTCTTTTGTATGTATCAATAGAACTATTTGGGAGAATTAAATTCAGAGGCAGAAATTTTAGAAGGACTGGAAGGAAATTTAAGAAGCTCTTATCAGTCACTTACAGCTGTTATTCTGATAGTCTTTATTATCTGAGAAGCCTTCGGCATCCACCTTAGGAATACAGATTATCATCTTGTTGCTTTAAAATCAGGGACCTTGGTTAGTAATACATTTGAGAACAAATTCTTCTGTCTACTCACAGGCTACTCTTTCTGCCTAATTTTAGCGAAAATCCATTCTTCTAAGGGTTGTTAACCCAGGGAACTAATTTTTAAAAATATTCTTATAACTGAACTTCAGTATAACTGGTTTTCTTTATAATTCCATGTATTTTATTTTGTGCATTTAAAAACATCATTCTGAGAAAAGGGTTCA